AGTCAGGTGCCATGCTATGTCTCCAATCGGAGACAGAAAAGGCAATTTCAAGTCTTTGATACCCCCTTTCTGGCAGTCAATCCCCTCCATGGCATATTCCTCTCTTGGGCTGCTAACAGTAATTTTTTCTTTAACAGCAATTTTGCCTTTTATTAATTGTGTCTTGCATTTTAGATAACTACTGTCATGGAAAAAGGAGGACCTTTACCAGCCACTGTCAAGCAGATGCTTCTTGGATGGTACCTGGTTGAGCAATGAAACAGGGATCCCTGACTACTTTGCCTCTTTACAGCAGGAAGTAGCTCCAGAAGAAACAACCTCCGCTCATTACCCCCATCTCCTCCCCCTTCCCCCCCCGCCCTGGCCTAGTATCCCCTATTTTTATTGAACAACAGAGCTGTAAATATAAGCATTATGCCCATCTCTTGGTCACGTGCTCTCTTTCTGGGGAAATATGGCTCCTCTAGTAAAGCTTGAAATAATCTTTCTCCTGTACCTGCCTGTCTCCGTGTGGTCCCCTGGGATGTATGTGACAGATCCTTTCACTTGGCCCCTAAAATTCAAGTCCAGCAACCAACCAAGGGAAATGTTATGGAAAGAGGCACTCCTGGGACTTTGACAATAATGTTTGGCCCTTGTAAAATGATCAGAGCTGGAGGTCACGGAAATGTTATAAGCATGCATAACTGGGCAAGACCTTGTCAGCCATTTGGACTAATGGACCGTAAAAGCCTAAGGCTGTAAAATGTGAGAAATAGTTTAAATCCAAATTGTTCTATGTTTGCTTAAAGCCTTAATTGACCGTAAATTCTGGGCTGACACCAACCAAATAAATTCATTTGTTTAAGAATAAAATGTAAAATTGTGAGGACCAGATCAAAATTAAACTGATAAGCTATTAATTAGACCAAGGAAGAAGAAAATTAAAATTTAGCTGGGACAAACAAGTACCAGGTAAGCAGAAAAACATAGGTAAAGACACTGGAAATAAAATAAAACTGTAGTCTGATAATTATTAAAAACCTGACCATTTGTATTAAGATTTAGGCCAAATGTTAAATTTCAATGGTAAGGGCTGAGTAAAGAGTGCTTACCAGGATAGATACACTAAACCTCTGCATTCTAAGGATGGCCTATCCCACCTCTAGGCTATTTGAAAAGCTCAACAATGCTTTCCCCAATTTGGGGAGGTAGTATTTTTCTAGAACTTAAAGATAAGACTTTTCCCACCTCCAGGCCTTCTTGAAGCTGGGTGCACTGCCCCCATCTCCTGCCTAGACACCAGGATGTCTGCAGCCAATTGTTTGGACTCAACCACCCTACTTTGCCTTGGTGCAGTTTGTAATCACTAACTGCTAGTTCTGCTTTTGTAACTTGTTTGTCAATTACAAAACTGCCACTGACCACCTGTAAGTGGAACTTCTTATGGATCCTGCCTTTAAACATCCTAGACTAACTATTTAAATCTTTTACAAATCTTTTTGGGGCTATACTGCTATAGCCCCAAAAAGGGGTCCGTGCAGTTACTAGAAGTTAAAAAATTATGCTTAAATTATAATTTGGAGTAAAATGTGGTTAGTAAAAACCTGTCACCCTGATAAACTACCCCACGCCAAGTTATAAAAGCCAGTGTAGTACTAGAAAAATATTAGGGAAATTTACTAAAGTCAGACCCTTTAATCAACCTATACCAACTGTTTACAAACCCATAAAACACTTAAGCTTCAATTATTGAAAAACAAAAAACAGGAATTCCCAAAGGAAACTCTTGTCTTAACCTTATTTCCTCTAATTTTTTTTAAAGTTGCCTCAAAGTGAACCTTTCACTAGAGCTGAAAGGCATTGTACCTCTCCAGCACCACTTTGGTATCTATTCTCAGATGATTTAAAGAATTTAATCAATGAAGACCAGGACTAATGATCCATAAGGGGAAAGGGTATGCTTCTATCATTACAGATGGATCCACCGGCAACATCTGGGTCGTTTTTGACTCATCCAACCCTCTGACAGACAAAAACAACACAACACAACCCTGAGAAAGAAGATTTAGTACACAGCTTTGCAGACCTAAGCTTGAAGTACTGATGACACCATCATCCTTATCGTAAGAAAACCAGTTTGACCCCACCAGCATGGGGTCAGATTAAGGTGATGACACACAAGGCAGAAGCCGCCCTGGTCAGTACAAAAACCCCTAGAACACCTGAACATCTGTTTTTGGCCATGATTGCAGTGCTTGCCAGTACTTTTGCAGTGAGTTGTGAACATGTGTATTTGGCCTATGTCTCTCATGCACCACTGCTAAAATTAGTGGATTGGCTAGACCAAGGGCCGGTGGTATACACTAATGGCAACATATACTCATCCAGATGAGGAAGGTCCTCAACTCCACCCAGACCTAAACCCCTCCCCCATCCCTGGAATTCTTGCCATACAATGGCCTCTCCCTCTCTCTGACCAGATCCACCTGGGCTCCCATCCACCTTACTTCGACTCCTGAGACCCCTCCTGCTACCTGGATGGTGACAGAGGCCATGTGGGTCCCTCTTGGGGGAAATATGGCTCCTCTAATAAACCTTATTAATCTTTTTCCTGTGACTGCCTGCCTCTGTGGTCCCCTGGGATAGATGTGTGGGATCCTTCATTAGTAGTGGACCATATGGGGATAGGCTCTCCAGTGGATTTGTTCATCACCCTCTCCCCCCACTTCAAAAGGGGGTCCAACCAGCTGCTCTGGGACCTATCCTGAGATTCTATACTCCAGTAGCCAGAGGACCACCAAGGTAACTTTCTCCTGACCAAGTGCTCTACCTGCTATTCATCCAACAGCGCTAATTAAGTCCTACCCATGTTAGTAACAGTACCAGAGTTCTGGGTTTCCAATTTCTGTAGTTCTGTCTGTAAGGCCACCTGGGCCTTCGTGGGGTAACTGAGCCTCATCCCTGCCATCGGACCAAAATCTTGGCCAAGGGTCCCCATGGAGAAAACTTGATGTTTCACACAGTGGGTCCCCATTATGATGAGCCAAATAGCACCACAGGGGACACTCTGTGGCCACTGCTTGCCTCTTGGTCGCTATCCATGGGAAGGACACTAAATTTCTTTACATTAAGGCCACCTGAAACTTGGAGGGCTGCTGAGCCCCCATCAGTCAAATTTGGCCCCAAATTTAAAACTCCACTTCTCTGAGTGCTCAGGCAAGTAAAAGTCTCTCCCTCTGTAAAGTCTGCACAGGGACACCTCTCACCTTCTTGGCTAAGTTTCCACCCAGTATCTGTTACCTAGATAACTAGCAGACCTGGAAGCAGTCACCTTCCACTCCTGCTAGGTCACATCCTGGGCCACCTCTGGTCACATGCCTCCCATCTGACTTTAGGAGGGTCCCAGACCCTGAGGTCACATCCAGATCCAGGGTGGCCACACCTTTCCCCCACCTGGCCACACCTCTTCCTGTCCCTGGCATAGATAAGTCCTGGCCCAGAGGTGGGTGCCCCTTTCCCTTTCCTTTTCAACCTTGTTTCTCCGCTATGCGTGGTGGGGGCATCAGTTTGGTAAATAAACAAACTTCTTTTCCTGCCTGAATTGCACGTGGTACTCTCTTCATCGGCTACCTGACGAAACCTACCTATTTAATATACCTTACACTCTCCTCTCTCTTGGTCTCTCTCTCTCCCCTCCCCCCCTTAAACTCTTCAGCTTGCTGTTCCAAAATTAGCTTCTGGTAACCTCTTCCTTCTTCCAACTGAAGGTATTCACAAGCATTTGTTATGCCAAATGCCTTGGTTAAGCCCTGAAAGAATGCAGCCAGCAATAGCTTATTTATACTCATTGAGATTAAAAAAAAATGGATGAGTTTAAGTCTAAACTTCCCCCCCTACCCCCCCAAAAAAGGGTAAACAAGTTTGGATATTACCAAAAGTGTATTAAATTCTGTTAAATCTTCTCTCTAGCATTGAGCACGTGGTGGATGCACCATTTTGGCATCGTGGCAATTCAGCTGCTGTTTTGTACCAACTCAACTTGATTCTGTGACCCTACATCCCCCACCCCCACTTGAACACTGGTACACCATTATGTTATGCCACCTGTCTGTGTCTTGTCTCCTGTTTACTAATTCTAGCTGTTGGCAAAGTTTTGTATTTTTAAACTGACCACGTGGCTCCATCATAATTAGGCAAAGTAATACGTCTAAAATTCCATAAATGGCCAACTTTAAAATCTAAGCATGCTCTATAATGTGTACAGAAACATGTCTATTTGTCTATATAAAAACGGTTATGATTTCAAGGTTACCAACTATTCTGCTTACTAAAAAATCTTTGTCAATAGAAGCTGTGATTTAATCCAGACTGTTTTAAAACTTTGTGACCTGATTATAAGCCAAAATAAAAGCAGGCAGTTTTATAAAAAGCCTTGGTAAAGGAGTTAAAAAAGATGGTTTCCTTTACAAAGTAAATGATACTGGTAATATTAAGTTGTCTGTGATTTAAGACTAAGGCTTTAATTCTGTTTTCTCCCCTGTGCACCGATCAACTCCCTTTAAGATCAAGGGATCAGAGTAACTCAAGATGCAGTGTGGCCTGTGAATGAGAAATGCCCAGGAAACAAAAACAACTACCTAAATCAGTGACACCAACCTACAAAAGCCAGTGTAAACCAGGCCTTTAACCAATATATATAGAATTTTACAGATAACCAACGGGAGGTGCCACTCCATACATGCTGGGAGATGCCACAGCCTTGCCCAGACCTTGCTGGCCTTGCTCCATCACACATGACCAAAAGCCTACTAATTTCGGGTAAAACACAAGCCACTTCAGATAATCCACACAAATTAGACCATAAGGGGGTGTATGAGCAAAGGCTATAAGTTGACGTCTATGGTACTTTACCACTGGATGTATTTCTAAAGGAAAAGAGATGCTACAGTGCTAGTACATTAAAAAAAAAACAAAAACAGGACTGGGAATGTGGCTCAGCGGTAGAGCGCTTGCCTTGCATGCATGAGGCCGTGGGTTCGATTCCCAAAGCACCACATAAGCAAAAGAGAAAAAGGCCAGAAGTGGCGCTGTGGCTCAAATGGTAGAGCACTAGGCTTGAGCTGAAGAGCTGAGGGACAGCGCCCAGGCCCAGAGTTCAGGCCCATGACCGGACCCCCGCTCCAAAAAAAAAAAAAAACCAAACAAACAAACAAACAAAAAACCCTGCTTATTTCCTAAAGGTAACTCAAGACTGCAGAAAAATGACCAGTCTTTCTATTCACTATGCTGCCAGCAGGTCACTCAGACTTCAGAAAAAAAACTGGCAGTTTAATGATTCTGGCAAGAGGTAAAGAGTGTTGCCCAGAGTTTCAATGAGGCATTTAAATGCAACTTAAAGTAACTTTACAAAAAGGGATTAAAATGGAGTCCCCCTTAGTAAAAATTTGGGAAGTTGTGGGGAATGGCTGGCCTCCCAGAGAAAAGTTTAAAAGATGAAATTGTCGTAAAGGTTTATTTCAAAGTTAAAAAAAAAAAAAAGATAAATTAGGATTATTCCAGTTTCCCCTTAAAGTTTTTTGTAACAGTTTCCAGTAGGCCCACAGTAAAAGAACAAGTTTGTCAAATGTAACTTAATAAGTTCCAGGTAACACCATGCTTATAAAACTACATCCAGTGACCCATCTTTGTTGCTTTTAATTGGAGTAAAAGTGGCCATTAGTAAAACTTGTTGATCTGGGAACTGCAGTTCAAAGCCAGCCCGGGAAGACAAAAGACCCTGTGAGACTGTCATCTTTAATCTGCCAGCAGAGTGCTCAAAAGCTGAGTTGCTTTGGAGTTCAAAGTGGCCAAGTGTTAGCCCTAATGTAGAGAGTTGAGAGACAGCACTCAAACCCTGAGTTCAAGTCCAGCGACTGACCAAGGAAAATGCCAAAGGTGCATTTATCCCAACATAAAAAGGGCACTCTGGGGACCCCAGCAATGTTAACACATCCAGAGGCAATTACAAGCAATTGCTCGGATGACAAAAATAATGTCAGATCCTGAGTTACTTGAGCTTGGCCCTCCAAAAAAATTGACCAAAGCCAGGTGGTCACGGAAAGATAATTTCTAAACATGCCTAACGTTAGCCCATATTGGTCTAACTGGGCAAAACTTGCCAGTCATCTGAAATTATTTAAATCCCAAGCCCCCAGTATCTTCTCGAAGTCCTAATTAGCAGTAACTTTTAAGCTGGTTGAATTCATTTGTTAAAAAGCTTGTGGAGCTGAGATTATGTCCCTATTGAGATCTGTCTAAAGGCCTACACAGGTAGGCATTGTTGGGGCCGCTAGAAATCAGGTTCCTCCGCCAGCCAAAAATGCTTTTACAAACCAGGGTGTTAAATAGGCTATGCTGCTGTAGCCCTGTACATTTGGTAAAGGATAAATGTTGCATATAAGCCACGTTAAACAGGCTTCCTAGAGGCAGTGGGTGGTGCTTAGAGTGCCAATCAGTCACAGTTTAAAAACAGCTACTGGGTTTTATTGAAAAAACTCTGACAAGTAATTGTTAGTCAACTGTTAACAAGTTATAGGTAATCTCTATCTCATTGATCTCCTTGTTGCTTTAATTGTAAATAAAAGGGCTTTTGTAACAAAGACTCCTTTTGACACAGTTCAAAGCCATCTGGGCACAAAAAATACCTCTGAAACTCCATCTCCATCAGCAAGGAGCCAGGCTGAAGGCATGGCTCCAGACTCAGCTCTAAGTGTCCAGTTGAAGACTAAAAGTGGTAGGACACTAGCCTCAAGCACAAGTGCTCAGGGACAGTGCCCAGGCCTTGAGTCCAAACCTGGTAAATGCCAACTGGGACAAGCTATCCCAGCAATGGATGCTGAGACACAGGCCAGGACAGAGTCAGTCCTGATAATGGAAAACTAGATGACATGCTAAATGGAGTCACTTTATGCTCGCCCTTTTAGACCCAGGAGCTCAAGAGAAATGGTTGCTTGCCCACCTAATGTCCATACCCGTCTACCTTCTAACTGCACAGAAAGTTAAGTCTTGTGCCTTTGTTACCTGCTATTTGTATTTATAGTAGCTTCTGATGTTCTCCCCTACTCAGTTGTCCAAAAGACCCTAGACATCCCCCCTTCCTGTCTTCTTTGCCCTGGGTCCAGTTATTCTTCCGTCCCTCTAAAGGGCTGCAATTGGACTTTATATTCCAAATGGAATTTTTCTGGCCCATGGGTAATGTGTATTCTCCTATATAATTCAGCTTTGACCATGTCACCTTGTCAGCCTTTTGCCTGTTCTTTCTGAAAGTCTCTTTCAACAGGAGTTATCCTGCCCAGGATACCACCTGGGAACAAGTCAAGGCCATCCTGTTCCTTCAGGCAACTAGAGACATCACTTACACTGCCCTGCCTTGCCCAGTGCAGACCCAACCCTAGCTCCAGGGATTCCTTGATGCTCCCAGTCCAGCAGGAAGTAGTCAAAAGAGCCCAAGACACCCATTGGTTCTGGTACCTTTAAATATTTCTGCTACCTCTTCCTCCTCCTCAGGTTACTGTGAACCTAAAGCAGGAAAAGTCTTACTCCCCCCCTCCCTCCAGGATGCCAGGAGTCAGGTACCATGCTATGTCTCCAATCTGAGACAGAACAGGCAATTTCAAGTCTTTGATACCCCCTTCTGGGAATCAATCCCTCCATGGCATATTCCTCTCTTGAGCTGCTAACAGCAATTTTTGCCTTAACAACAATTGTGTCTTGGATTTTAGATAACTATTGTCATGGAAAAAGGAGTACCTTTACCAACCACTGTCAAGCAGAAGCTTCTTGGACAGTACCCAGCCAAGCAACAAAACAGGGACCTCTGACTACTTTAAGCCCCTTTAAGCAGGAAGTAGCTCCAGAAGAAACGACCTCCACCCATTACAACCCACTCCCGTTCCCCCCACCAGCCTAGTACCCCCTACTTTATTATTAAACAACAGAGCAGGGAATGTTAGTACTATACTCACCTTTGGTCAGCTCCACGAAGACCTAAATCCCTCCCCCATTCCTTGAGTTCCTGCCATACAGTTGATCCCTCCCTCTCTGCCCAGATCCACCTGGGCTCCTATCCACCTCACTTCTGACCCCTGAGACCCCTTCTTGCTACCTGGATAGTAAGGGAGGCCATGTCATCCCTTTTGGGGGAAATATGGCTCCTCTAATAAACCTTGTTAATCTTTTTCCTGTGATTGCCTGCCTCTGTGTGGTCTCCTGGGATGGATGTGTGGGACCCTTCAGAAAGATTATATAGCATAATGATAACAACTCGTTTATAGATTGGGGTCCTCACAGATGTTTCTTTGCCAAATGTTCTGAAAAGCATGGTGATGATTGGTGTACTAATAATTCTTCTGTCCTGTGGTGCCTATACAATGGAATTATAAATCATGTAGACCCCACCGGGGCTTGCTCACCTGGCATGGAGGCCTTGTGCCTCCTAGGCCACGGATAAATTTCAGGGGACACTTGGGCCCTGAACACTGGCATTTATGGAAACTTGCCGTCCCATTTTACACAGCTCAAAATTGGATTGGTTACTTTATACTAGAGCCCATGAGGCTAATTATACATTTTATAGGAACCATTCTTCTACTGTACAAGGCTTGCATTAAACTTCCCTATGTATTGGCCATAGGGACAGTGTCAATTAATGAGAACCTACAAAACCTGGACTGTTTTGTTGACTCTTTACATGTTTAAATCCTACTATTCCTTTTAATATGTCTTCTCAGTCTCTCCTGATATAAGATCTCACCTAGGGGTCTGTGTGTCTGTTAACCTCACTGGACCTTGGAAGGAGAGCCCTGCTGTTGGTTTGTTGACAGGAGTCTTCTAGCAACTCCTGAAGGGATTCCTAGGCCTGATCGTAGCTGGAGATCCTTGGACTGATTGCTATCACCACGACTGCTGAAGTGGTCCTGCATTCCTCCATCCAAACCAAGGACTTTGTAGAAAAGTGGCAACAGGACTCTCATCAGCTATGGACTTGTCAGCTAAATACTGAATAGGACATTGAGTCCTGTCTGAACACCCTGGGAGTGCAGATAATTTATCTGCAGAAACCGCTAACCTTCAAGTGAGCTCAACAAAGCTGTCACTCCTTCCAGTTTCAATGCCACTAACATCACTTCAGGGACTTCACTACCACCTGCAAGACTCGCAAGAGAATTTGACTTGGGACATACACCAGTTACAGCAGGAAGTCATTGACACTTTCTTGGCATAACTCCCTGAGGTGGAAAATGAGGGTATGGCTGAGGGAACTGCATCTGTGCTAAATCAATTAGACCTGTACCTGGTGGCAGAGTTTTACCCATAGTGTTTCTTTCTATAGGATTGATTGCATTCTGTCTTTTGTTGTTTGTTTTCTTAGCAGGATATTGCTGTCTCTGTTCCAAAATAGCTAAGGGGTCTTTTCTGCAAAGGGATCTCTTGCTTACTGATCTACGCTTAAAATATTAAAAAATGGGAGATGTTGGAGGCATCAAGCCATGTAACTTCATCTGAGCTCCTGTGTGCAGTGAGGAAGGGACACCCCTTCTGCACAAAGGTTCTGCGCCGGGTGCCAGACCCAAGCGATGGTTTGTGGGAAGTGCCATTCATGCTTCTCCTACTTAATCCTGTAAAACAGTGCCTCGAGACCCCCCTTGTGTATTCACCTGTGCTTTACCTACTTTTACAACCCTGGAATTGGTTGACAAGGATTAGCTTTTCCTGCTTACTGACTTAAAAATTCAACTCTCATTGTCTGTATTCCCATAAAACTGTTTTAAGATTAACTCTCATGAGAATCAAGAGGCTGAGCCACACACCAGGAAATCCAATTTGCTTGGGAGCTTGACCCACCTTATTGCTTTTACCTTAGCTACCAGAAATAATGCACTACCATCCCAAGCCTTTTCTCTAGACTTCTAGAAGTTACTCTTTCTTCACAATATGAAGTTTCTGTTTGACCCAATATTGTGAAAGGAAAATCCATCATGGCCATATGGCCTATGAAATGAAGAACCAACAAGGCCAAACAACACTTAATCTTCTACATTCCCCTCCAAACTCAAACCATTCTTTAATCAAAATAGAGGTTAGGTTCAGAAGACATTTCTCAGGAGCTGTACAGCCTAGACCTTTCTCTTTCATAACCCGAAAAGGTTTCTTTTGATTTCTTACTAAAATAATTTGTTCATAGAGGAAAACTAAGAAAAGTAACCGTAAGACAGCTTGTTCCAAATGCTGGATACGTTTCCTCATAAAGGCTTAAAGAGCCTTTACAGAACATTTCTCTGTCACTGGCTTTTCACTTGACTGTGTGCTAAAGTTAAGTTAAAACGAGGTCAATAATGATTACCCTTATCCACACCCTCCACGCCCAAAGGTTAGAAAGTTCTGGGACAAGCTCTCAAGACTTTATGCATGCTGCTTTTCCCCCAAAAGGTCCAAACTACACTTTCATTAAAGACCTGCCAGATGCCAAAATTGCCACACACACTTCCCCATTGTGATGCCATTTAAACCTCCCTTTCCTTCCCCCAAGCGTGTCACAACTCCTGACTCTAGTGAATGTGTGTCACCCTTCTCCAGTGCTCATTAAAAAGCTTGGTCTAATCTGTTGATGTTGTGGTTTCATTTTCTGCCTCATTTGGTGCTGAAGCCTGGGACAGAGTTCCTAGAGGGCAACAATCTCTGCTTGGGGATCTATCACCACTCTCCCCTAATCCTTTCCTTTCTGGCAGCAGAATTCTGAGAATTAGTCAGTCCCTCCACCTTTCTTTGCCTGCAAGTAACCAGAAGCCTCCACTGTCAGGGAGAGCTTGGCTCTACTGGCCTCACCTAAGGGAGGTGAGACCTTATCTGCTGATGTCCATATTGGTGAATCTGGTGAACTCTGTTGTCCTTTTACTTCTCACCTTTCCCTTCCCAGCAACCTCCAGATCACAGGTCATTTGTCATTTGAACTACTCTACATCCATCACCAGCCAAACTCATCATGGACATTGTGAAGTAAGGATACTAGACCTCTCTCTCTCCTTCCTGGTTCTGGGGATCTACTTGGACAGATCATTTTAAGGGATGCTTTAGCACTCATCTGAGGTTTTTCTCTCCAGCCTACATCTGCTGCCTGGAGATACCTTTGCACAGATTGTTGGCCCTCTCTTCTAT